TATTTATTTATTTATTTATTTATTTGTTTATTTATTAACTTACTTATTTATTTATTTTATTATTCATTTATTTATTAACGATATTATCTAATTGGTAACGCTCAGTGAAAAATAGCGATTGAAGAGGTGTGGGAACGATTTCATTATCATTTCATACTAACAACAACGGCTACAGCATTAACGAAAAGTATAGTAATAACAACGATAACACATTATTAATTAGATGATTTTTACGTAATAATAATAATAACTGCAGCAGCAGGCATAACAATAACTGCGATAGCACCGCGAACATCATCATCAGGCGCAGCGGCAGCAGCAGTACTAGCGCCAACGGGGTACAATAGCTTTTAATCCTTTCATGTGCTCACACAATATGCCGCAAATATCTCGAATTAAAAAAAATGTTTACATATAATTATAGATTCAATAACCCGATGACGTACGCTGCGAGCCTTATCGATCTTCACAGTCCCTCTACATAGAGAAACATTCCGCATGGAAACACAATCTCTATAGGCGTTTTTTCGTTATCTCGCTCTTGGCTAAATTTTAATGCGCTGCAGTGACGACCACACGCACCCGGTCTCAAACACTGACGCCGCCGCCGCCGCCGCCGCCGCCGCCGCCGCCGCCGCCGCCGCCGCCGTCATATAGCTTCAGTGATTCACTGGGCGGGGAAGACCGCGCGGCAATGACTCATCGCAGCGCTCGCTCATAGTCTGCGAGGATATTGGCGCGCGGCGCGGCGCGGCGCAGCGCGAGGTGGCAAGAGTGGGGGCACGGCGACCCCTCGTGACTCACGCCTGCCTTCACCGCTGCTTCACCGGCACACACGTACACGTGCGCCACGGTGCGTCGTACGTGCCATCATCAGAAAATCAATACGACCCTCTTACGTACGTACTTACCACCGAGATTGCTAATATTCACAATTAGTACCGCTTGGTGGGTTCTTCGATACTCTTAGACACGGGGATGCTGACACAGGGATGCTGACACAGGGATGCTGACACAGGGATGCTGACCCGGGGATGCTGAAACAGGGATGCTGACACAGGGATGCTAACACGGGGATGCTGACACAGGGATGCTAATACAAGGATGCTGACCCGGGGATGCTAACACATGGATGCTGACACAGGAATGCTGACACAGTGATGCTAACACAGGGATGCTAACACAGGGATGCTGACACAAAGATGCTGAAACAGGGATGCTGACACAGGGATGCTAACACGGGGATGCTGACCCGGGGATGCTGAAACAGGGATGCTGACACAGAGATGCTAACACGGGGATGCTGACCCGGGGATGCTGAAACAGGGATGCTGACACAGTGATGCTAACACGGGGATGCTGACCCGGGGATGCTGAAACAGGGATGCTGACACAGTGATGCTAACACGGGGATGCTGACACAGGGATGCTAATACAGGGATGCTGACCCGGGGATGCTAACACATGGATGCTGACACAGGAATGCTGACACAGCGATGCTAACACAGGGATGCTAACACAGGGATGCTGAAACAGGGATGCTGACACAGGGATGCTAACACGGGGATGCTGACCCAGGGATGCTGAAACAGGGATGCTGACACAGTGATGCTGACACAGGGATGCTGACACAGGGATGCTAACACAGAGAAGCTGACACAGGGATGCTGAAACAGGGATGCTGACCCGGGGATGCTGATACAGGGATGCTGATCCGGGGATGCTGAAACAGGGATGCTGACACAATGATGCTAACACGGGATGCTGACACAGGGATGCTGACACAGTGATGCTAACACAGGGATGCTAACACAGGGATGCTGACACAGAGATGCTGAAACAGGAATGCTGACACAGGGATGCTAACACGGGGATGCTGACCCGGGGATGCTGAAACAGGGATGCTGACACAGGGATGCTGACACAGGGATGCTAACACGGGGATGCTGATC